AGTTGGCCAGACTTCATAAACCAGTAAAAAGAAAGCTAAGAATCAGAGAGGGAAGAGATCAACAAACTTTTTTTTTTTTTTTAGGTCCAGTAAGCACAAAACTTAAAATCGAAGAATTAATAGCAATACTAAACCTTTAAGTGCTTCAGCAGATTCAAGGAGGAGCAGAGTTAATGTGCATAACAACTAATAAAATTCAGAAGTCCAGTTTTCACAAGAGTATGATAGCATTACCTTCATTCTCTCCATAAAGCTTCTGAACAGACCTGGGGGTGGATTCTTTCCAAAACCTGCTCAGCACAGACAGGGACTTTGGCTTCAATTGGGAATGAGTGAAGAGCGCAGTGTTTTGCTGTTACAGGTGAAGCATAAAGTTCTTGGCCTCTGCACTCACATTTGTAGGGTTGTTTGTTTCTCATCGAGAGAATTTTTAAAGGAAAATGCATACGTGTTCAGGTTTTTTTCCCACCCATTTCAAAGTACAACTAAAATTTTTGTCCTTGAATTGGAGTGCTCAATCCCCTAGACACTCCAAACTCAAGTGGCAGGGTGGGTACTCCAAGCACTGGTACTTACAAGCAACAAAGCCAGCAGTAGAGCCTGCCAAAAGTTTCCTTGCAGGGAGAAAACAGGGGCTTTTTTGTTTGTTTGTGAAAGACGCAAAAATTCAGGTTATTTCAGTAGAACAAATGAGACCTATCTCATTTAAAGCAAAAATAATTCTAAGAGAAATTAAATGCTGTTAATCTCCTCTGTGCCACATTGTGAGCCGTCTGTCTGCCAAACAATGCAATCAAAATACCATAATCAAACAGCAGTCCCCGCGTTCAGCGCGGCCCTACTGCATACGGCAGGGTAGGGAGCGCTGTAAATAGAGAAGACCGGGCTCTCAGCACTCCTACCATTAAAATAAAACAGGCTGAACAATATGAGTTTTTTCATTAATTCTCTTGCTCTGTTTTAGCCAAATAGGAGAGTACTTAAAAAATAACATAAAAAATCAGTTAGCTTTAAAGAAATGAGAGTAGTAATGTGGGATCTAACTGACAGTCTTTTTTTTTAATTAAAAGTTACGGTGAGCAGATTATCATAATACACAATTGTATTTAACTGCTATCTTTTTAGCCCGAAAGGAGTACATATATTCACACTGAATCATTTTTTTTCATGTCTGGCAAGCTGGGATCTGGTAAAAGGAGGAGGGAGGAAAGCTAATATTTGTTTTGTTTTTCACAGTTGGCAGAATATGGTAGAATTATAGCAATTAAAAAAGAAAGCAACGCAGGTTATTCGTGTGCAACGGTGTTACATAAACTGTAGGTCAATCAGGAAGAGCTAAGCCGCTCAAAATGGGATTCACAATAACTAGATACCTGGGGGAGAGGCAGATGTCTGTCAGAGACGAGAAGTGTTTCAGTGGGGATAAATACCTGTGTTTGTTCTAGATTCACATACTATATGTGCAACTATTTTCTGAACACAGGTAACCAGGAAGTCCTGTTAAGACAATATAAGCAATCAGATCTGTGAAATTACAGATAAATGCAGAGGATGGGAATTCTGATTACAGAAGTTCCATTTAATTCAGGAAGAAGTAATTTGCATCTCTGCAGTTTCCTGTGGAAACCCCAGCAAATCTGCAGTTAACAAGATTAGATCTGTACTAGCACACATGAAATTACAGCATGGAGTAACTCGGTCTAAACCCTTATGTAGAAAGAAGCCAAATTCATCACATCTTGCACTCATTTCTGAGGGGCAGGATATGTATATAAAAGCTTTCATAGTTTTACATGGGCAGTATTTAGAAAGTATGATATATAAATACTTTTTTTCTGTTCTTTCACACATGTCAATTTTTCTGCTTTTATTTAGCGTTCAGAAGGAGTCAAACAGATAATAATATACTTAAAGCATAATTAAACGAATGTTATGACGTGTGCCAACAAATTTCTGAATGCGCTCCGTTGTTCTGTTGTTGAGGGGGGGAAAGTTGTATTTAAGATGCTTTGAAAAGCATTCTCATGAGCCTAAGAAAGATATGCAAGCTAAGAACTGATAGAAAAGTGTGATGCAATCTGTTAACAGCCATTTATACTACTGAAATACATTTACTATTCTAAAAAATTCTGGAAGCTTTTGACAACTGAGCAACACACTGATACATTTTAAGACCAGCTCACAGGTGCCATGAACTATAAATGGAGTCCAAGTAGCTATGGGATGAATGGTCTTTACCTACCCTTCAATTCTTGAAGTAGATATGACAAATTAATGCCAGTTATCAACTCATTTTTCTCTTCAGAGAATTCCTCAGAGGTTTTTTTTTTTTTCTTGATTTTTTTTGTTGTTGTTGTTATTTTTTGGGGGGGAGTGTCTTTAGTCTTTTTTTCTGCATCTTCATCAAATTGTGTGATGCAGCTGAGACTTGAGAAAAAAAAATACAATTCCCCAGTATTGCAGATAGTTGATTTAGTCTCGTCCTGCCGAGCTTCCTCTCTGGGAAGTCTCCCTCCCCGAGGCAGCCCTTGTGCTGAGCGGCTGTTTCTGCCTCGGGTGTCGCAGCCAGCGCGAGTCCCGTCCCGTCAGGCAGCCGCTTTGCGTGTGTAGGACTCTGATCTCACCTGGGAGTTACCGGCACAGAGAGGACAGATGATAAACGAAAAATGCACGTTTTCATCCTGGCCAAGCACCCAAATTATTATGTAGTCCTGTAAGTGACAAATGAACAGCACTTAAGAGTACGGTGTGGTTGTTAGTCCTCACAGGACTGCAGGTGCTGAGCCCCCGCTCGCCCTGTGCTCGTGAGCGCGCGTGTCTGCGCGGCGCCGGGCGCCCACAACACCCTCTGCCACCGGTAGGACCCGCCTGTGCCTCTGTAACGTACGTTTTGTCCTACAATCTGAACCTTCGCATTTTGGTCAAGCTATGGCCAATTGTAGGTGAATTTAGCAAATGTGTTACATCTTTTGGTCATTGTCTGATAGAGAGTCACTGGTCTCTGGTCCCAGGAACTTAATTCTCTTGTGCATGATCTACCAAGGAATTCAAGTCTTCTGCCTGACCAGTATTTGTGTTTTCTCTTACCTGTACCGTGTTCAGTGCGAACGCTCATGGGTTCAGTGTTTGTTAAATGTTAATGTTCTCATGGAGGGCTCCCACTGAAGGAGGCCCAATCCCCTGAGGAGTGCCTTTTCTAGAAGAATCTTCGCTGGTGTCAGCATGCTTGTAGCTTTGTCTGCTAATAATGATATTTCTGCTTTTTGTATGAAGCAGAATGATCACTTCAAGAAAATTGCATTGCCAGTGTTTATCTGCTAGGGAAACTATTATAACATGATGGGAAAACTCTCAATGCAAAGTAGTTAAAAACTCGACTGTGAGTAATCAGTGTTAAAATATGGGGTTCTCGATTTAAAAAGTGCCGCACATGAGCAGCATGTGAGTCCTGTCATTCTTTGTCAATGTCTGTTGGCATTTTACAGAGGCAGGGGTCAGCTGTAATGTGTGGAGGTAGGTGCAGTCAGACTCATGCAGGGATCAGGGTGATAGTTTTAAAGGTTTTGGCTTAGCCTAAAGTCCGAATGCTTTAGGGTATTCAGTACTGTGGCTATATAAATCATGTTGCCAGTATTCATGTATTTTATAATCATGATTACCAGAGTAACGTTATTGAGTCTTTAAATAAGGATGGATGGCAATTCCCTTTTCTATGTGAGATTTGGGTGAAAAGGTAATTAAAAAAAAAAAAAAAATTTCCTATGCTTTTAAACCATAACCTCTGAGGACAGAAAGAATGGTCTGAGACCAGAACACAGTAGATCTTGGGGGGTGCTTCCAGGGAGAGTTTGTTTTTTCCTAATTTTGCCTTGGAATTCCTACATGATTCCCTGTAAGACATGCAGAGCCTTGTCCAAAGTGTGGTTAGAAGAGCTGATCTGCCTCGCCATAGTATTTTTAAGCATTATATGAAAAATAGACACTAAGTAACTTTACTGAGGCAGGTGAAAGGTAAGAAAAAACAAAGGAAGATTGGATTATGCACTCCAAATGCAAATTCCCTTTTGAAAGTGTCAGAAAATTTGTATATGACGTGGCCGCAGAACTTGAGCATTATTATTGAAAACATTGCGATGTTGGTAACCAGAGACCCGGTACATCCCTCATTCATGTGCTGTTGTTGATCTTGATGATCATCAGTGGTATTACCCACAGTGGACTATAATTACTTTTCCTAAATGCTGAAGCTCAAGGAGACAGAACTCTTTTTTACAAGCTACCAATCCATATCAACAAAGAACCTTTTTGATTAAAAATCTGTGCATGGAACCCCATCCTTCTGCTTGATTAGACATAAATGTAAAATTATTGTTCTCCCCTGCATTCCCTTTTTTCCTATATTTAGAGGACCTGTATGAGAGATGCAAGTTTTTGTTCTGCCTGTATTTCAGAACATACTGCACTATGCTTGAATTACATATATCTTAATGGCTTTTAGAAATAAAAAGACTGAAATTCAATAGATTCCCTTCCCTCTTACCATATCAGTAGTACCAGCATGGATAGTCTTCAAACCATCTTCCTCAGTGCTGGATGTTCTACTTTTACATTGCATTAATGGAAAAATGGAAACACCTTCTAAGTAAAACAAATTATTGGCAATGGAGACACAGACTTCCTAGGCATCTTTCTCCTGCTATGCTTTTTGTGTGCCATTGCCTGGCAATCATCACTCTAATCCTGGGATGGCTGACACAGCTTGTGCCAGCCCAAGGTAAAGGGTTAATCTGTAACAGTGTAATTCTGCACTGTTACGGTACTTTCGTAACTGATTCTTGGGGGCTTACTAAGCAATATTTTGTTGTAGCAGGTGTTTCCACATTTGGTTTTCCATAGTGCAGTGTAACATTGCATATCATTCTTAATTTTTCAGTTGTACCTGAAAAACCAAGAACATAACAGAAAGGCAAAAAATAATGTTATTTACAATCTCTTTGCAGTTGGATCCTGAGGCTAGTGTTGGCCTAAAGGAACTTCAGATGAAGCTTAGTAATGTACTGGATGAACTCAGCATGACATACGCTACAAGGTAACAATCCTATTTTACTGCAAACCATAGAGAACTATTCCTGTCAAATTCCACTGCTAGTCGGGTGCCTGTTGGGATGTCCTTCGGCGGAGCAGCTTGGGCGCTGCCGTGGCGCTGTGCAGCCGTGCGCACCTGGCCGCAAACGTGCGGCGGCAGCCGCTCTGCGCGCAGGGACGTGCGGCAGCAGCGCAGCTGCCAGCTCTGTTCTGCGCTCTCAAAGATAGACATTGCCCTGTTTGTTCTTGCCTGATTCTGTGTTTAACTTCTCTCTCCGTCTACGTGCACGTTATTTCCTGAGACTGACGGCATTTGTAAGTGGTCTGCCTCGCGCAGGGAAGGCTGCCTGCGCTCAGCCTGCTGCAGGTGATCCGTGTGAACGGCCTTCTCGTGTCACTGGCTTTGCCTGTGGCTCCGCAGGAGGCAGCTGAAAATGACTCCTGAAACCCGCCATTAATGAGACAGCATGAAGACAGACTGACGTCTTGAGTGACTGCGGTGTTCTGCCAGCAGCGTGCCAGTACTGTGGGAAGCTGCAAGTTATTTTTGATTCTAAAAAGAAGGGAATGTAAGATTTCCTCCTGTGGCTGCAGTGGTGTTCAATAAGTGAAGTCTGTAGTTGCTGATTCAGTCAATTGATGAACAGTCTGGGTGGACTCTCTTCACTGTGTGTGCTTAGTACATCACTGCTTGCCTTTGGCTCCCAGGCTCTGGTTCTCTCATCACTGACAGTGCAGGAATGTTATTTCAGGGCTTCTTTCTGAATAAACCAACTGGATTTCTGCAAGACAAAATCCACAATAGCCGAGGTCAGTCTAGGATATACCCCAGATAGCTAGAATAGACACAAACTCCACCCAGAACTCAACACATTCGACACCATGCTATAAAAACACTGGCCCTTTTCATTATTTATGAGTGCTCTGAAATAAGCAAACTGCAGCTTTTGGAGAAAAAAAATCTTCATACAGTTCAAGTATTTTAGTTCTATCAACTAGTTGCAAAGAAACAAGTAAAAATTATGATGAACACATGAAAAAGTCATACTGAGACAAACAGGGCAAAATGAGTGGAAGTTTTCATTTGTCCTCAGGAAAAATATGAAAGCTAAGCCAAGTGAATTGAGAAGAGAAAACATGTCTTTACTGTTCCTATTGTCCTTTCATACCAAAAATAAAATCTGGAGTGGCTCTGTCAATCATACCCCAGGTTGCAAATTTTACTTCATCTGTTATTTTCAGAAAATAATTATTGGCACCAATACAGTGCTATGAAAAGCAGTAATAGAATTGAAACAAGAAGAGATAAAGAGCAAATGAAAACAGTAACTGAATCAATTCTATGGGTTCAGATCCTTCAGAGGGGTTAAGTTTAAAGTACCTGCAGTATCTTGTATTGGAGAGCTACCCATCATCACAGATACGATTTAGATCTTCTTGATAAAACTGATTCAAAATGATAAATGGTCATTTTCTATCCCAAAAATATTTCATTTTTTTTCAAACTATAGTTTCCAACTTGTTATCGAAGACTGTGTGAAGCAAATGAGCTCTGAGCTGAGCCAGATGCGAGGCAATGGGAACGCAGCCGCCAACAAGAACAGCGCGGCCCTCGATGCCGAGATGGTGCTGAGGCCGCTCATGGACTTCCTGGACAAAACGTACGTGGGGCGGCCGCCGGCTGGGCTCACCCTGGAGCGGGTTATTTTATTTACATTTGAGTTGAGACGCTTATTTCCAGAACAAGTTTTTAGGAAAAGACACAAATGTCTCTACGCTTGCATATAGCTATCATAAGCTTATAACATAAAATGTAGCGAGGGCTGATTTTCTGCCTGTGAGATCTGATTCCAGCTTACCATTTGACAAAGCCACCATCATACCTTCTTCAAGCCTGAAATACATAATGATATGATGGAAGCAAAGGGAAGATGTTTTTAAAATACCGGCCAAATAGAAAATGTTCCTCTCCACTGGAATGTCAAATATAATTTTAGCATGTCCTAAACCCCTTCCACGTAAAATATAAATATGATACTAAAAAAACTTTGCTTGGCAATTTCAAAAAAAAAGATACTATTATAATCATATTTAATTAATATGGTTTGTTTTTTTAATTAATTACTCTTATTTATGTGCATTTTAAGAGATGGTAGTAACAGATGCAAGATAAGTTTTCATATTTATGTATATTGATATGATGTGCACATTTTCTTCACAAAAACCTCTTTTTATGTGAGCAGCTCAGATATAGTTCTGTAAAGATCACCATACATGCATTTGCCTAATAACAATTTGAATTTGTTTTCTTATACCTGAAAACTAGCACTTTATTTATGTTACTCAATCACATACATGATGGTTCATGAAAATACTCTTAGATTAAAAGTATATATATGTATCTCTATAGATACAGATCCTTCAGACATTAATTTGACCATATTAGTAACAGAGCATATGGTTGCACAGGAAGTACCTACATATATCTTCAGATATCTGTATCTATATAAATGCTTCAGGATGGTATTTCTGAATTTGCAGAACTACAGCTAGCCATACATCACAGTAGACATATTTGCCAACAAGCAGGACTTTTAGCCTATTTCTTGTTTTTATGGTATAAACAAACCATATATTAAAACTTCAGGAGTTTGCAGGGAGATGTTAAATTGTCACCTATCAAACCCCTGAAACTCATTGTAATTTTGCATTTTCACATGTATCACTACTACACTAAGCAGGAATATGGGTACTAGAGATTTACATGATTTTCTAGTCTGGAAGTCCTTTTTGAACAAAAATCTACCAGCAATATTGTGGAATATTATTAAATATTATAACTAAGCAGTTAACTTGCTGTATTGATAGAGAAAAACTAAGCCATATTGGCCATAAATTTGAGGATGTGGTGATTCAGCATCTTCACAATTTTAACTCTAGTTTTGAAACCTGCTCTTTGAACTTTATTACAGTTTAAGCCTCTCTCCGAGCTGGGCCATCCGAGGCCAGTGTGGGCGACGCTGCTCGGTGGCAGAGGCCAGTCCAGGTCAGGGCAGTTCTGACAGATCATCTGGCTTTGTGAGGGCAGGACAAAAGAAGCAGAACTTTGGGGTGTGCTTCTGTAAGTTGGATTTCTCATGGCTTCATCAGCCAAAAACCAAGAATATTCCTCCTGGAGCTGGGGTGCCTTTTTATTCCCTCAGTTTTACCTTTTTCTTTTCTTCTCTGTGGGATTGGAATAGCTGATTCTTCTTATTTCCAATCCTGTCTAGAATAAAAATCACCATCCTTACTACAAGCTAATCATAGCATTGATTCTGTGTGCCTTTGGGCAGCTTTTCTATGTAACTGCTGTGTTACCAGTTAAGCTGCTGGTTAGTATCCATAAGATATATTAATATTACATTTTGACATATTAAATATATAAGAAAATTGGTGGAGGGGCAAGAGAAAATGTAATTGCACGTGTATAATCGGTATAAATGTATAAAATGTATAAATGGTAAGTAACAAACAATACTGGCTTTCAAAAATTCTAGTGTAGAACTCATCACATCATCATACCCAGACTCCATTCGCTGAATGTGCTCATATTTACGGTATTGCTGTTGTTTATCATGCATTTAGAAAGAGGCTCTCTTTCAAACTGTGACTATGTCAAATTTATATTTCTGAGACTTAATTTGATATTCTGACTTTTGATGCAAGAACATGGCAAATTTTATCTGCAAATGTATAGGTAGTGCTTAGATTGGACAGCTGTACTTCATATTCAGAATTGTGAGGAATTACTAGCTTTATGGTTATACTTCAACAAGTTCATTTATACTCTGAATCACAGAACAGTGTCATTGGACTTTTTCTGTTGCTTCCTTTCTTTGCATTTGCTAATACAAAATAACCTGTCAAAGATGCAGCGTGCACTTGGTTAAAAGCACAGTGTTTCAGTTAGTATTAAAACAACATTTTGGAAACTTTTCCACCCAAATTTCTATCCTAGCATCTAAGAACTATGGTTTTTGACAAGTAGCTCATTGAGGCAGGTATTAACATTGTATAAAAGCAGTCCCTGCCTTTAATACATTCAATAAAAAATGAGACTGTAGGCAGGAGCACAAGCAGCAGCTGTCATCACCAAAGACAATGTTTGTATCATGATACAGGACATGAGAGAATCATGCAGGCCTTCAACTACTTTGCCATAGCAACTAAATCAAAACACGCTTCACATGTAATAGAAACTTTTACTTAGGTTTGCAATCAGTGACTCCATCTAATGTCCTAGCAGAAAAGAAGATGATGTCACTATAAAAAGCAAACACTGTGTAGTAAGCCTGTTTTCTGAATTTTCCATGTGAATACAGGGGCCGCAGATGATATTCAGCGCAGCCAAAGATCTTGGACAGCTGTCAAAACTCAAGGTAATGTAGCCACATGGATCTGTGAGTGGTCTGCTCCATGAAGAAATGGATTAAATATCAGCAACTGTGCGGCCAAACCTCATGCCTCATTCCTATGCTTATTTACTGTAATAAGCCTGAATGTGGCAGTAGCTGGATACAGGTGATTAATGATTTTGCAGTATGGTCCAAGACAAATCAAGATTAAAAGACAGTATTTGCTTACATAAATAAGTGATGACTAGCTGGGGCCAAGAAGATATCATTCCCATATTGCACAACTTGGCCTTATGAACATTAGCATCTGGTACCAGTTGTGAAAAAACACTTAAGATGGGAGTACTTGTAAATTTGTTCTTCATACTAGTTATAATGTGTTGAAACACAGTGAGCAGTTTTGCAGTAAATTTATCAGCACTGTATTTCTAAAGGCAGTAAAAGGTTGGAAGTTTGATATTTGTAATAGTAGTTTACTGATCAGTTTGCTATTTGCACTTCAGAATTGGGCAGAAATGTGGTAATTTGTGTTTCTATGTGTAATATCTCAGTCTGCTGAGGCAGTAAAAGGCTGCCTAAGTAAATAATGGGGTGGTTATTTTAGAAAAATTCCCAGGACTGCTGGTAGCTTATGATTTTAGTTAATACTACAACAGACAGAACTGAACAGAATACAGTTAATACTACACTGACAGAACTAGAGGAAACAGCCAGAAACTGAAGCATCAGAAGTTCCACAGGAATTTAAGGAAAAATTTCTTCACAGTGAGGGTGACAGAGCCCTGGAACAGGCTGCCCAGAGAGGTTGTGGAGTCTCCTTCTCTGGAGATCTTCCAAACCCGCTTGGACGCAGTCCTGTGCCACGTGCTCTAGGTGACCCTGCGTGTGCAGGGGGTTGGACTGGATGATCCCTAGAGGTCCCTTCCAGCCTTAAGCATTCTAATAGATTCTAATCAGAGTCAGTTTTTTTTAAGCATAGTATGTTAACAAACATTAGTTTAACTGTCAGCTTGATTAGTGAAACAAATTGTTCCAGTATTTTACTCAATTGAACTTAAATTTCAACCTCTGCACACCCCAACAGAATAGGGAAATAATATATCATGATAACAGAAATAAAGCAACACAGATGCCAAGTCTTAAATACTAGTTCTTTTCTTCTGTACAGTCTATGCTTTTGAGAAACAAAAGGCCTGTTCTGGGTTAGAATTCATGATAAAATAGGTCTGAAGTTGAATTAATTCTGTTAAATATGGGCAATCATAGAATCACAGAATGCTTAAGGCTGGAAAGGACCTCTAGAGATCATCCAGTCCAACCCCCCTGCACACGCAGGGTCACCTAGAGCACGTGGCACAGGACTGCATCCAAGCGGGTTTTGAAGATCTCCAGAGAAGGAGACTCCACAACCTCTCTGGGCAGCCTGTTCCAGGGCTCTGTCACCCTCACTGTTAAAAAATTTTTCCTTAAGTTCCTGTGGAACTTTTG